TGTGTGTGTGTGTGTTCTCCTGTTTCCTCTCCTGTCTGACCCTGTGACACCCTGTGCTCAGTGCTCAGATGGCAGGTCTGCTGTGTGAGGAGGAAGGCCCAGAAGCTGACAACGTTAAATACTGCGGCTACTGCAAGCATCACTATAACAAAATGGTAAGCTGGACAACAGTCTAGAGAAGGCAAACATATATTCATGCACAAAACATTGCAAAACAAAGGAAATTAAAGAGTTATAAACAGCTACAACCATCAGAGTTGTCCTCCCTTAAATGCACTGTGAGATTAACACTGCCCATTAACAGTAAACATAACTGCTAAACACAGCTGTTGTTTTTTTACCACCTCCTCAAACATTGTGCAATTATTTGTGCTTTTGAATCAATTTAGTCTGATTTCTGTTTGGGGGTTGTTCAGTCCAAACGAATCACTTGTGACTGACTCTCTGTCCCGTCAGCGTCATTTTCATTGGACACAAAAGCTGTAGTAGGAGCATTCACTTCAATGTGTTGCGTCAATCGAAAGCAGTGTGTTGATCTAAAACGTAGCATGTGTGGCTGCCTCAGTTTTCTCCATGATTGTCGCTATTTATCGGGCTCTGGCACAGCAAGACAGCATTTCCGTTTTTAATCTTACCTACAAAGCTGGGATGGGCTTGGTTTTCAGTTGGGGAAACAGTCAAAGAGCGGTTTGATCACTGAGATGAAAGAGATTTGAAGGTCACTTATTTCCTTTTAATGTAAAAGCTCACAATGAGCTTTGGTTTCTATTTTGATTGAACTTTAAATATTCTACATACAACATCAGCTGGCACTAGCACCCCAGCATTTCATACCAAAACAATGGGCAATACGTCTCCCCAGACTCCATTGACAAAACCAGTCATATTACCAAGCAGATAATTGTAAAGCAAACTTTATAAATATTATTATATATATTACTATTATATTATTAAAGAAACTATATAAAACAGTCTTGGTTAGTCTTCCACTGTCCGACAATCACCAACTCTGGTTTAGTTGAAATCAATTCTTAATTCACTGGCATAGATGAGGAAAAAAACCTGTTTCAGTCACTCTACTCAGTTAGAAACAGAGAAACTCACGTGCACTAAAATGTATTTGCGGCCAGACCGGCTTTGTAAACACACCACAGAGGGGCTGGAATACCAACAAAGGGACACCATGACTCCCCTTTATCTTTCCATAGCAGTTGTTTGCTGCTATATTAATGTTTTAAATCTGTTGAACCTTTAAGCACTATTTGAAAGAAGAAAAAGCCGCGTTTAAGGTTTTATTTGGTCCTGGGACAACGCTCACTTTGTCCTTTGGTTTTTACAGCAAAAGAAGTTGCGCTCCAGTGAAAATACAAGCAGCACGTTCAGTCATTCCAGGGGGCGCTCCAGCTCTCCATCACAGGACAAACACCACCACCACAGACAGAGGAAGGTCAGCACTAGTGTTGATGTATGTAACTGTAACGGCTAGGTGAAGTGCTAAGTACCAAAGGTTGGCATCAACTATGTGGTCAGATTTGTACTCGCGTTTAGATATTCTTCAGTTTCTGATTTAAATGAGAACTATTTTACTGAGAGTTCTGAGTTCTCGTCTGTCTGCTTGTGTTCAAACAACATTTAACATTCGAAAGCTTTGGCTTATTCTGTTAAATGAAAAAAATGGTTTCAAAGTGAGATATTTAAAATAGAGTTTTGGTATTTGTACCAAGTATAAAAAAAAATTTAATACGATACTAGCCCTAACAATCGTGCGTGTGCATGCTTATTTGTGTAAGAGGCTAGTGTATGCTTGGTAGGACCTGACTGTTAACATACGTGAGCCCTGTTTGTTACTCCGTCTTCAGAGTCACAAGGACAAGATTCGGCAAAAAGAGCGCCACAAGAAGTCCTCCGACAGCCTGGGCTCTTCAGTGACCACCAGCAGTATAGAAAAGGTATGAAAAGCCAACCCACAGGATGACTGTGGGATGGACAATTTAATTTAAAAAACACTGATGCCACAGTGCCACATACATTAAAGAACGGTCGCTCTTCTTAATCTTGTTGTGACCTGTGTGTTTTGGTACAGATATCCTCCAGTCACCACAGCAACAAGGACAATGAGGGAAAACCTAAGAAGCTGAGCTCACACAGCCATGGTCATCGCAGTAAGAAGACAGGAAGCACTGGCAAGAGCTGCTCCTCCTCCTCCTGCTCCTCCAGTCCATTCAACACAGGTACCACGTGAAGAGTGAAATATTGGGAAGGTGACATAAAGATGTCGAAAAATGTTGATAGTGACATAAGTTGAGTCTGAATACAACTTTGTGTTTCTCTTGGAGGTGGCTCCCTGTCTTCCGCTCAGGACTTCCATCAGTTCTCATCGTCCTCCCGCCTGGAGCGCGACCACGACCGAGGCGGTGACGACCACAGCGGTGAGGAGCGCAAGGAGCGTCACAGGAGGCCAGCCGTCCAGGAAGACGAGGACGAAGAGGACGATGAAAAGGAGGAGGAAAAAGATGAAGAAGAGGAAGAGGAGGAGGAAGAGGACAGTAAATTCCACAAGCCACCAGCTTTGACTCCTGCTGATGGCCCACTGGCAGGGTCACAGGGTCACGACAGGTTGGAGGGCAACTCGAGCCCTCACAAGGCAGGAGTCCACCGGATTTCCACCTTTGGGTCCATTATGCGCATCACCACCTCATCTGGGCTGGGCAGCAGCAGCAAGATCCGGAAGATCTCCTCCTCAGGGGACTACAAACCCTCCAAGTCTCTCTGTAAACCATCTCAGCTGAGCACGCCGCCTATCCTGGAGGAGGCAGACCTGGAGGACAAAGCCACGCCCCCGCCGCTGCCAAGAGAGAGGAGGCACCGCGGCAACAAGAAGAGCAGCCACGGCCCAGGGCGCCCGCGGGGCAGCAAGAACCGGGAGAGGAGGGAAGAGGAGCATCACCACCACCATCACCACACAGCGCCGCCTCCTCCTCCAGCCTTAACCTCCTCACTCTACCCAAGTCCATCCTCCATCCCCCACCCCGCCTTCCCCTCCACGCTTCCTGCCACCACCCTCTCTTTCTCTTCCTCTTCTTCCTCTTCTTTCTCCTCCTCCTCTGCCGGCAGTTTTTCCACAAGCCGTGGCATCTCACTGCTCGGCTCCGGTGAGTCTAAGTGAGTGGGTGTGTGTGGTAGCCCTCGAGTTTCCTGTGTGTGTGTGTGTGAGAGAGAGAGAGGGAGAGAGAGAGAGCGTGCTAAAAAAAACTTATCACTATCTGTTTGCACTTTGGTGTGTTCATTTGCAACTCAACTACTCAAGTGTTGAAATGTTCCATTACACATGTGCCATGTCAGCAGCACAGTAGCAGCTTATCTGAACGATGTAGCAGAACAGGCCAAGCAGGACAAATAAAGATACCGTTACATGGCACTGTTTTTCATACACGTGGTTTTAAAATTCTAAATGTTTTGTAAATCTGTCTCACAGTATTTATTTCATCTGTACAAGGCAGAGATATTGTGCTAGATAGTGTTTTCTGTGAGCTGCAACATGTCTCCGGGGGGTAGGTTTCCTGTCCTACTTACAGATTGATTCTCTCGTGTACACAAACGCTTGCGTGCTGCGTGTGGTTGTCTTTTGGGGTCTTACAACTTCTTAGAGGAAAATAATGATCAGCATCTCTTTACCTAACTTCCCCTTTCTGATCTCTCAGGTATCTACTCCAGTCTCAAGGACCCTCTCACGCTGGGCGGGGGTGTCTGCAGTACCCCTCTCTCCCTGGGTGGAGGGGTGTGTAGCACCTCCTTGTCCCTGGGAGGGGGTATGTGTAGCACCCCTCTCTCCTCAGGACTCCTTCAATCCCACGTCTCCCCACTTCCACTTCCGTCAGTAAGCGCTGTCTCAAACACACAGGTACTTCAGAAAGGGAGGAAGTTAGATCAGTCAGCATGAAGGTTTGCTCTGTACTCTGTAGAAGTTTCTACTGTTGTAAAGCACGTTGTGACATTGTGAAAAGTGGAACTGTATAAATATATATGATGATTTGAATTGTTAGCGCTGCTATTATTAGCCACTGCTTGTCACTTATTGTTGACTTGCTGGATAGAAAAGAACACGACAGAGCTGAAACGATTAGTTGTTGATCAACAGAAAATGAATCTGGGACTATATCACAATCAATGAATCATTTCAGTTATTTTGCAAGCAAAACTGCAAAAACCGTTTGATGGTATGAGCTCATCAAAAGAGGATTTGCCGCTTTTCTTTGTCGTGTATGACAGTAGACTGAATCTTTGGGTTTAGACCGTTGAAATCAAACAATGTGAAGACGTCTTTAGGCAATTTTCTCACAATTTTCAGACTTTTTTAATTACATTTCTGACAATTTTTTGACTTTCTTTCCATGGACAAAACCATTCATCAATAAACTGACAAAATAATGAGCAGATTAGATGATAGATGATTACATCTAAAGCTAAAATGATTTGCAAATAAATGATAACAAACAAGTACTCAACCACAGTTTATTTACATATTATTTATTGATTGAAAACTTCAAATAACTAAATAATTGATTAAAGGCAAAATCGCTGTTTTCTTTGCTTTTATATCAATGAAAATTTTATATTTAATACTTAAAATTGTTTATCGGACACAACAACAATTTGTTTGCATCACCTTTGCCTTTACCTATTCAGAGTAAATGAATAACAGAAAAATGTATTATAAATGATTATAATGATTGTGTTTGCATAATGCACTTTTTTGATATTTGATAATGTCAACTTCATCTAAGACTGTGAATGAGTAATAGTGAATAATATTAAACCATGTCGCACACTGTTACGTGGGGCAGATGTGGGTTATATTACCATTAGACAAGGGTTTATGATATGACGTTCTTTTTTTTTTTACCAACAACCTCTCCAGCTTGTGCAGATGATTTCTTCATCAGCCAGATGTTGATGTTCACTATCTCATAGGTCCATCCAGGTTCCAGCACCTCCTATAGCCTGACCTCCACTCAGCCTTTCGCCAGCTGTCTCCCCACAGCCCAGACACTGCCGCCACTACTGAGCCAAGCCCAGACCTCACTGCCAGGTGAGAGGAAGTTGGGAGGGAGTTCAGAGATCAGTATGATGAAGCTTTAGATAAGCTTCCACAAGAAAACCTCTTCTGACACAAATATTCTTCCCTTTCTCAGAATCTGACATACTTTAAATCTCTTCGTACTGTACCGCCTACCAGTGAGTAAAGTTCATGACTCTTTGTTCCCGTTCTCAGAGTCCGACCTCGATGACTGTCGCTTCCCATGTCAGGGGAACTCACCGAGAGAGAGTCTTTCTTCACAGTATGTCTCATTTAATCTTTTTTGATGTTAAGTACACTTACACAATATATGATTTTGCACTCCTCCAGAGCCGCTGAAAATGAGTGAGTGAGTAGTAAAGCACAGTTTCAGTTTCTCGCTATCTACTCATCTTTCATCCATCAAATGAAACATCATTTGGATAAATTTTCCCTGTGCTGTGGCTGTAGTCAGATCAGTTTCTATTTCTGTAACCAGCAGCAGGAAACGATTACCAGAGTGACTGCGAATACTAACCACAGCCACAGGTCTTGGTAGTTTCCCAGCCTGGCTGTAGCAATGACTTCTTTCTGTTGGTTTTCTCCTCCTCCACACCCAGGTCTCCTATGAGCTGTCTTCCTCTTCTGTTTGACCAGAGAGATGGTTTGGGTGCAGGAGTCAGAGCCCGTCCTGAGAACGTCCCTCCAGCCAGCTCTCACATTGAGCTTCTGTTGGAGAAGCATGGCAACGGAGAAATGGGAGTCAACAGTGAGTAAGCCCAGAAAAAGATGTGCAACCGTGGTTCCCGTGAAGTTACAAGATAAAGCTGATTGTCACAACATGATTAAAGCGATAAGAATGGAAACAAGCCAAACAGGTTGGGAACCACTGCAATGCAGAGCAAAAAATACCTTTTGTAGTCTGCACATGATTGTGTTTACATGCACTCTGTGAGACAACGCCTTGCCTCTATTTAGAGATGATGAATGTACCTATGGATGCTGTCAGGGACAAAAAAAAAATAGCTCAGTAAAAGATAGCATGCGCTGTTCCTTCTCTACGTTTAATTTCTGTCGAGATCTCTCCTGAACCACAGTGCTCACTGCGTCTTACTCTGACTCACTGTTTCTCTGGGGACATCATCAGCTGACACTTGCTTTCTAATCTATTCTTTGCTCCTTTTTCTTCCTCCTCCCAGAGCCGTCATATTCTTTTCCATTTTGCCTCATACTTCTTTCAGCTTTCTTATTCTGTCTATTATTTCCACCATTGTCTGTCTTTGTGCCATTGTTGCCTCTCCCAAAATCAGAGTGTGTATATTTTTATGCGTCATAGCCTCCCATTCTCTGTTAAAAAGCCCTGCAGTCTCCACCTTGAATATGTTTCTCTGTGCCGCAGGGAGAGTTCACTTTAGAATAATGACTATAACTGTTAACTGCTCTTCCACTCTGCAGAAATGGGAGAGAAGAGAGTATTTGTTCTGTGCGTCTGTGATGCCGGGGACGCTGCACAGACAGCTCTATAGAAAATCAATTAGAAAGCATTTAGAGGATGGGGTTGAATTCCTAGTTCAGAGCTGACACTAGGAGGCCTTAGGAATCACTGGTTCATGACTGCACTTTATTGCACATTGGTCGAATCTTCAGTTGTACAGCTTTGACAGTAATTTATAGAAAAATGTGAATTAATTCACAAATGATGTTTCAGAAATATTTAATTCAGGGCAGGTATACAGCCGCTACTGTAAGTGTGTAATATGAGCCTACCTGGGGCTCACCCATAGAGGTCTTTCTACATATTTGTCTTGATTAGACCCCTTCCTGATTAGGACTGTGGGCGCTTCACTGACATCTCCCTCGTTCTACTGGTATCTTTTTGAACCTGTTACGGTGCAACAACTCAGGACTGTTCCCTTCTTAATAAACACTCATTAACTAAAAGTGAGCATTAAATTAAGATTTAAGACACTTATGAATCGTCATCATTTGTGTCATTACTGACAAGTATAGTGTTGCATTTGCAACTATAATGTTCACATTATCAAGCATTGTGGGAGAGCAAAGAAAAAAACTAAAATTAAAGGCACTACACAATGCATAACATTTTACTATTAAATTTATTTACTGTATTGTGTTAGCTCCCTCCCACATCAACCAAAGCAAAAGCCTAATCAGTCCAACACACAGGTGGGTGCATAGGACCTTTAAAGTGGACTAAAATAAAGTTTAGAGCAGGTCACTGTGTCTATTTGTATTTGTATGTTTGTAAAACATATTTCCAGTGTTTGAATTGTGAAGGAACCCAGTCATTGCATTAATGAGTTAATGCCACACCCATACTCTGTTTAAATTGACAACTCACCTCGTTTGCTAAATCCTCTTATTATAATGTTAACACTGCTTCATAATAATTTCATTTCATACTATATTAATTACAGATTACTTTGGTCTCTTGGAAAAGGCTGTGTATTTAGTGGATATTTCATAATGTGCCAGTGTGGCTACATCTCTAATCATCACAACTGTAATACTTTTGTAAGTGACATGAGTGGCAGTTAAATTATAATCCCTTAAAAGAATCCTGCTCTGTCCTGGCGACTGGCATCCATTTAATTTGGAATTATTTGGAAACTGAGCTGCACTGCCTTCCCATGCTTGTCATAGTCAAACTGTCATCACATCCTCACATCGCCCCGCCCAAAATACAGTGAGATAATGGAAGCAGAGCTCCACTAAAATACTGTTTCTGTCTGATGACGTATCTATCCTCCCTCCCTCTTCTAGTTGTAGAGATGCTCCAGTCACTCCACTCCCTGCAGCAGGAGAACCAGCGCCTCCAAGATCAGATCCTCAGCCTGACGGCCAAGAAGGAGCGGCTGCAGCTGCTCAACACAGAGCTGGCCGTGCCTTTCCCTCCACACATCCTTTCCGCCCAGGGCTCCATGCACACCTCTGCACAGATCAACTTCCTATCATCCATCCAAGGTCAGATTATTCATATCTTAAAACACTGTTACTATGGTGTCATGTAGTACACTCCCCATCTATATTTTTCTCCCCTCCTTCCTCCACCTGCATGTAGTATTTTAAACATCAGTGTTATTGTCAGGTTAGGTGAGATTCCTTACAGTAAACTTATCAGATCATAGATGATATGATTGATAACATCTGTCTGTATTGTTGGTTATTCTTTCCACTGACAAAACAACGCACTGTAAACTCAAAGAGGTTGTTCCAGCCTGATCTGTCTGCACCTCTCTTCCGGTTTTGTTAAAGGTGTAAATGTGGCAGAACAAAACAAATGAATGAGCACTACGGCCCACCAGACTCCATTGACAAAAACATTCATTTTACCTTGCAGATCATAAAACTCACTTCAACAGTCTTTGTTAGTCTTTTCCACTGTTCCAACACATATCACCAACTCAATTCACACAGGTGAGAAATAGGCGCAAAATAGAGTTGGCAGTGTAACGTTGTTCTTGGGGACAAATGCACTGGTAAAAGTGCTTGTTACTCAGTGTCTGACATTATGGAAAGGATCCCTACAGAGTAAGATTTTTTTTTCTGAAAAAGCCCGTATATTGCTATTGCTCGCCACCAGATTCCACTTTAACCTCACAGATAATCATAAAACACATTCATTCAAACTTGCCAGGAACAAAATAAAACACACCAAAAAAGTCTCTTCACTGTTCTAACAATCACCAACTGTAACTAAATCACCTTCCATGGTGTCCACCATGTCGAACCGTCATGTTTCTATGGTAGTCCAGAATAGACAAACGAAACACTGGCTCTAGATAATTGCGTTCACGTTTCTCCTTTGCACTTGGAATGGGAGGGTGAAGCGACATAGTTGCAATCTGCAACTACATCACTAGATGCCACCAAATCCTGCACTCTGGTCCTTAAAGCAAAGCAGTATCACTCAGTGCCATGAATCAGTGCAGCAACCCTGTGTTTGTCCCTCTTTTCCTTAGACCCCCTGAGCACCAATAAAAGTCCCCTGTCGAAAAGCTGCTTCCTGAATGACACCTCCTTTGTTACCTCGTCTGAGGTAAGAACCTTTTTACCTTGAACACACTGTACAACCCATACTAGCAAGTACAGTTCTGCCTATTAAACCTCTTTTGTAACAAGATGTGTATAGGTTTGTGTATAGGCTGGCATCACATTATTGCACATTTAGACTGACTGTGTGCTTTTTGTGGCAGTGTTTATTCACTGTAAACTGATGTTCAAAGGTACTGAATGCACATCAAATGCAAGCTAAAAGCTAAATATCTAAAATGATGTTTTATGTCTTTGTTCCAGGAGCTCCACTCTGGTAGTCCTTCCCGCAGTAGCTCTTCCCTCTCCTTTCAGAGCACTCCTCCTCCTCAGCAAAGCCCCGCCTCCTTCGGCCAGCCCCTGCTGAACGGCCTAAGCCGAGGTTTGAACGATGGTCTGGGGGCCATCAGTCAAGCCGGCAGCTCCTCTTTGCCCGTGGTGGGCGGGCTCATGGCATCGCTCACAGGAAGTCCTCAACTGAACATGAACGGTGTGCTGGGCAGTCTGAACGGCGTGATCCAGTCTCCTGTGCAGAACGCCCCTCAGCCCACACTCCCCGCTCTGCGACCCCAGCCTCCACCTCTCAACCCCCAGGCACTGGCACAGGGCTTTCAGCTTCCCAAGAGTGCCAGCCCGTATGTACCCAGTCTGTCTTTAAATCCACTTTCACACTAATGGCTGTTTTAATTAAAGGCATTGACTTAAACCAGGGATCACTCTCTGATTGTTTGGACTGATCAGCTGAGCGTGTGTGTGTGTTGTCTGGTGTGTAATGTGTGTTGGTGTTTGTGTTTCAGGTCTTCTCTCCTGTCCGAGCAGCAGAAGCAGCTTCTTCTCGAGCAGCAGCAGCAACAGCAGCAGCTCCAGCAGTTCCTCGCCTCACAGAACTTCACTCCTGTGAGGACACTCACTTTTTTTTTTTAAGTTATTTTTTGGGCCTTTCCGCGCCTTTATTTGGACAGAGACAGCTGAAGATAGACAGGAAGGAAGGGTAGAGAGAGAGGGGATGACACTCAGCAAAGGGCCACAGGTTGGATTCGCACCTGGGCCGCTGCAGTAACTCCGTATATGGGTCGCCAGCTCTACCGACTGAGCTAACCGGGCGCCCCGAGGACACTCTTTTTAGCACTCTTATTCTCAATCCTCATCTTCCTCGCAAAAACTTCCTTCAATCTTAGTCTTGTAGTTAGCTATTGGCACACCAGGTTTATTTTTATAGACCTTAATTACGGTGACAGTCTCAAAGTTCGTCTGTGGACATTTTAGACTTACTTACTTAAATCTTCTTTTATTAAATGAATAGTTCAACATTTTGTGGAATACCTGTGAAATGTCCTGTGGTCACTGTGAGGTTGCCAGGCAACCAAAAGCGACTTCAGGAAGTTACAGTGCCCAGCCAAGAAAATAGTCCCACACATAGCGCTCTATAAAACCACAACTTCAGTACAGATTAAAAAACAAACGAGGTATAACGTGTTTATTAGTGAGCTTTACAGGTGCTGGTGTTACCTTTGGACAGAGCCAGGCTAGCTGTTTCCCATTGTGTCCAGTCTTTATGCTAAGCCAAGCTATAGTCTGCTGGCTATAGCTTCATAATTAACATACATACATGGGAATGGTATGGATCTTCTCAAGAAGAGAGAAGTATACAGTATATCCCAAAATGTCTGAAACTATTCCTTTAATTTGACCCGTTTCCGGTTCAACCCAGCTAGTTTGAAGAATTTACCAGAATCACTGGTAATTTGTCTAATACTACAGTAGTGATCTGCCTTGTTTAGTCTTACTGTCATTAGTATCCCATGCATGGTAGACAGCAGTCATTTACAGTCAGAGATGTGACACTAAAAGTATAATGCTAGAGTGTTAACTTTACATAAGAGTAAGAAGAGAAATATTGTCGATTTAATAGCACTGACACATTTGCTTCAGAGATTAATATGGGGAAACCAATATGCAGTAGTATGTCACTAACTAGCCACTGAGGTTATTTATGAGTCACTGCGAGACTCCTTTTACAAAAACAGGAAACCAGCCAGCATGAATGTCCCTATTTGACTTGCAAAGTCTGGTGGAGTCTGGAAACAAGCATACACAGTGGACTGTGGTCTAATAAATCTAGACCTGGTATCTGGGTTCAGGGTTTATTTGCTATGGTACATTCAAGACAGGTGAAACAAGTGATAATAGCACAACATGGATGATCCAAGGAAAGTTGCTCTTGTTCAGGGTAAACAAATCATAGATAAACTTTTCTTGTAGATGATGTTCCCATTCATTGAAAAGATGGAATTGATAAACTTACATTTACATGAGCTGGATTGTTATTGATGGCTTATGGTAAGAACCGTTTGCTCCCCACCACCTACTAACTGAGAATGATCTTTCCTGATCTAACTAATGGAGCTCATCTGTGCACAAAGAAAAACAATACTTCCCCTAGTGGTTAAATCAGAAAGTACATACAAATGGCTCCTACATTAGTTATTAAGATTATTAATTATTCAATCTAACTTTCAGCACAGAGATGTATTAATTTCACCATTTGCAATGCAGAAACAGAAGCTTGATGTCACATAACTGCACACTGAGCTCACAGTTCATTCTCCCAGCTGTCCGAGTTGGGGGTTACAGGGGTCCTGAGCTCTGTCTTCTCCCCCGTCCACCAGGAGCAGCAGGTGGTGGTGTGCCAGATGCTGCAGCAGCAGAGACAGAGGGAACTGCAGCGCCTGACAGGAGCACTCACCTCCACCCCAAACTCACCCATGATCGCCCAGTCCCCCAGCCTGCTGTCCTCAGCCACAGCCTCACCCCTGCAGGGCGGCCAGGGAGGCAGCCTCTTTGGCCTGCAGGACAACGCACTTCACAAGCCCGGGGTGAGTAACACTGCAAGGGTTTATTCTTGAACTTATTCTTAATCATTTATGATGGTGCGCTTATGATCAATTAATAAAAGGTACAGAGCATAAAACCTTTGCTTACGCAGGTTCTAAGAAGCCCATTTGTAACTTACCTACCTGTGATCTATAAATATCAAATTAACTTACACAAATGAGATTTTAGTCAGGAGTTGCCATGGATCAAAAGACATACGTAAAAGTGGTGAATTATCAGTGTTTAATTGTGAGAATCAACACTTATTTTAGTGAGAAATCTTACTTTTGAATTGTTTGTACGGATTGTTAATATGTCAAATTTCTTAAAGGGAGTTTGGCTTAATATTTTTCCACATAGAGCACAGGGAGCTTTTCAAACTGCTGCATATATTTTCTTAAACATTTTCTAACTACAGAAACACTAAAGCTCTGTTATTGGTCATAATTGAAGGCTCTGTGTTGGAGAATATGACACTTTCAGGTGTTAATTAAATAAAATGTTCCTGCCATAATCCTGCACCCCCCACTTTTTTATTTTTATTTTTTGGGGGGGCTTTTATTGCCTTTATGATAGTGACAGACAAAGATAGACAGGAAAGG